GAGAAAAGAGAACGGAAAAAAAAAAAGGAAACTGCAGCAATTTGCAGGAGAGAAACCAATATTTGAACCCCGTGTGGAACAACCCGCAGAACTAAACCTTTTTTTCCCCTGAATACAGCGTACGGTCATTATAGCTGCATCTGGGGTATCTTTCAGTCTAAATACAGCTCTAATGACCATACGTTGTATTCGGCGGAACAAGGTAGCAGTTAGTGCTGTGGTTCTCTGCCGGAATGCTGCACGTTTGATTTTTTTTTTTTGATTTTTTCGAAATTTTTTTTCTGTTTTTTGAATTTTTTTTTTTTTTTTTTTTAAGAAGGGTGGGTTCTTAGACCCTACCTTCTTCCCCCGAATACAACGTACGGTCATTATAGCTGTATTTGGGGCATCTTTCAGTCTAAATACAGCTATAATGACCTTGCGTTGTATTCGGGGGAAGAAGGTAGTACTAGTGACATTTAGTGTCCATCAGGACTTGAACTCATGTCCTGTTTTCATGTTTATCAAGATCAAAGCTACATGCGTGTAGTAGTGTACCCTTCAGCCATGAGGGCCAAGGGTCTGAAAAGTTCTGAAGTTCTGAATATTTCATATAATCCTGTAACTCCTGTTGAGTTCCCCCCCCTCCCCCCCCAAAATTCACAGGCCCCTTCTATTCCGGGGGACAACAATCCAGTTACTTATCACCGGCAAGCATTACCTTATTCTGCTTTTTTTTCCCTCACTCGGGGCTTGGTACCGTTTTGGCACAGTGTGTCCCAGTGTCCTTGTTTTTGTGTGTGTTTTATTGGCCTTTTCATCAGTTTGAAATTTGAACCGATGCCCATCTAGATTCCGTATTTTCCTCCCAAGGGAGTATCAACTTATCAAGCAACTTGCAGATCATTATCAAACTATAGATGAATCTAGATGAAAAAGGCCACCAAGGGGGTGCTGTGGTATCCTGTTGAGAAATAACTGCCACCAATGGGGTGTTGTGGTAGCCTGTCAATTCGCAGCCAGGAGGCTGCGCTTGTGAGGGTTGCGTTTTCGTCGTTTCGTGTGCTTTCTATTTCGGGTAAGTCATGCAGTCCAATGAAAAAAAAAAAAAAAAAGAGATTTCGTCTTCCTAAGGACAGGTGAACAAACCGGTGACAACATTTTTCAGCTGCAGAGGCGTATTGGTCCTATGCCATGGCAAGGTGGTTTGCACAGCGGACCTATGAGCAGACAGCAGCGCATAGCAATTTATATTTATGCTACATTGCTAGTAATTTGCTACACAATCGATGACATCCATTGAAATCAGAATGACACAGAGAAGATTACAGCCGCCCCCGTGCAAAGATGGGGAAAAAAAGCAACGATGGACAGCAGGGCTGAGGGTTTCAGGTCCGCACCAGACTCACCCATTGACTAAAGCAGCTATACTTGGTACAGAACCTCTCCACTGCCCCCATCCACTCTAGTATGAGCTCAAAAGCACGTGGATGACAGTGGTAAAGAACGATCCAATATTGGTGAACGATCCGATATCGGTGAATGTACTGAGTCCTATTGAGTAGCACCGAGTACCATATACACGAAGGTCAGCCTGCATCGCGCTGATCAAACGAAGCCTCACTTACTTTTGTGCTGGCCATTTCTGTTAAGCAACAGTGCTGGGGCACGCACTTTTGTGCTGCCCATTTCTGTCACGCACCAGCGCTGGGGCAGTGGAAGAAGAGATAGATCTTCTGTATCATTGCGGGACACTCAACAGTTATGACAAAGGTCCATCCCACTGGCAACGCCGATCTGTGGTAAAGCAGAGGGCGAAGAACAGCTGCTGAGGGAAAAGACAGCACACTGAGCACCGATCATACTGAGCAATGTCACGTCACAATGTCTGCAGCAGCATCTTCACCGCCTCGTTCATTTCTGCACTCCAGGGTGCGTTTCTGGATCTGTCCTGCTTGCTCGCAATTCAACAGGATCAAAGGTTCCAAGCGGAACCCCACTCCACAAGCTCTTACGGTCCTGTCATTCCACCCCATTCCCACCCCATTCGGACCTTTTCGTCTTTTGTACCCCCCCTCCACTGCCTTGCTTGCTGGCAATTGAAGACAACATCGACTGTTTGTGTTTGCTGGCAATTAAATCCTTTGTGGACTGTCTGTTCTCTTGTCTCACGAAACTGCCAATTCACGACCACACCGCTAATTCACATGGCTACAAAGAAAGCTACAAACAAGCTTTCAATAGACAAGCATGCATCTGCAATTCTGCATCTGGCTATTCACATCGTCGTGACTGTCTATTTCTGCACTCTGTGGGTTGTATGGCTGCCCTTGGCTATTCGCATAGCCATACCCCGCATCGCAGTCGCAGTGCACCTCAACTCAAGATTGCCTGTCCTCGTGCATATTCGCATAGCCAGCCCTTGGCTATTCACATAGCCAGACCATAGCCATTGCCAACCTCAACTCAAGACTGCCTGACTATTCATATAGCAACCTGCCCTTGGCTATTCACATAGCCAGACCACATTGTCGCATACCTGCTGCACCTGGCTCTTCACACAGCGACTGTCTGTATCTGCGCTCCTCCGCAGGTTGCTGTCGTGAAGGTCCGAGTCAAAATGGGAAGCGAGCAACGGACTAATTCTCCCTGCAAACAGTGCAGTGTGCTTTTTTTTTTTTTTGCTACCATGGCAAGCAACTATTTGGATTGTGCTATTCTGAGTCAAAATGGGAAAGCGACGAAGGGACTAGTTCTTCCGCCAAATTCTTGCAGATATTGGCAGGCTTGCCGCGCTACTCGCCCAACGTCCTCATTTTTTTGAATGTATCTTCTCCACTCATTAGTCCAGAAACATTCAAAATGTTGGCGTTCGGCGAGTGGTTCAGCCAGGCCCTTAGTCAAGATACAGGTCAGGTATCTGACTGCAACTGCCGGACAGAAAGTGTCAGATGAGCAGAAAAACGAAAGAGACCCGTCCACTCAAGAGTTTGGCGAGTGGCGCGGCCAGCCCCTTGCTCAAGATGCACTTCAGCAAAAAAAGGGTTGAAGATCAAAGTCAGCAAAAAAGTATCTGACTTACTGCTGCACAAAAAAAGTGTCAGATGAACAGATGAACAGATGAGCACAGAGACCCCTCAGTTCCAAACCATATCGGCCCTCACAAGGATCAACAAGGATCAACAATGGAGGGGCAGAAGCCGCATAGTGAGTTAGCAAGAAGTCTATACCCATAAAAGGAAGGATCAACAATGCAGGGGGAGTAGCTGCACCTGCAGCAGAAAGAAGGACAATGCTCGATACCCATAAAAGGAAAAAGTCCATTTGCTACATCTCGTTTTCTTTTTTTTTTTCCTTTTTTAAGGTTTTTTTTTTTTTTTTTTTTTTTTTAAACAGGACCTTATGGCCCTGGCTCCATGTCAAATGTCTGGGGAGCATCAGTGACAACATGCGGAAGAGTGATCCTATAGGGGGAAGGTGTAGCGCCGGCAGAAGAAAAGGAGAGCAACAACAATGCTATAGTGACCCCACTGCCTCCCACCCTATTTTAATGAACGGACACATTTTGTTCTCCCCAACCTGCCCCACCAAATCAAAACAATGCAGGCCTACCTGTAGCAGCAGGGAGCAAAAGAATGCGTTCTTTTGCTGCCAGAATTTTATTTTATTTTTTTCCCTTGCATGCGGAATTTGTTTTCTATTTCTTCAACCGCCTGTTCGGCCGAGGCGGAAGTCGTCTCTTGCCCCAGTACATGGCAGGACATTTCGCCCTCGGCCTACCGGACCCAAGAGGGGTACCGGGGGCGTGTGAAACATTCTGAGTACCAACACTTAAGGGATTTTTTATTCAGGAAAACAAAAAAATCAGAGATGTTGCTTAGGTTACTCCGCATCAGTGAAAAAAAAAAAAAAAATCGACCAAAAAAGTAGATGATTTCGCCTATTAACAAATACTAGTGCCAAACCAAATTCATATTTCAATCCTAACCAAATTCATATTTCAATCAAAGTTGGGGTGACCCGATAGGCGTGAAGTTTCAGGCTGGGCAGGGGCCTCGTCCCACGAGCATCGAGTTAATCGGTGTGTGGCGTTCTTTTCTCATTTAAAAACGCATAAACAATGCTTTTTATCATTTACACGAATGCAAAGAAAAGGACCCAAAAAACGAAAAATTACGTGCCCTGACATCGACATCATGACAGAACTTCAGTGCATCCACACTTCCACCAACCCGGTACATCTGCATGCGACCTTCCCACCGGCCTGTTCGCAGTCTTCCACAGAAATCTCAATATTCTCTATTTTACCACATAAAAAAAAGAAAACAACATCGATGCAAAAACGCCCCCCCCCTCGGACCTCCCTAATATTGCAGCTTCGTGCCAACGCAAAGTGGCTAGCTAAATGGGCAAAAAAATGAAAACGAAACTCTTCTATTGGCCGGCGGACAGATACCGTAACGAAATCTGTCCTTATCGCCCTGCGCCAACGATACACAAAAGGATCAACGGTCGCCGGATGTCACCTTTCGCCACACGTGGTTGAAAACCATGGAGCCGTAGCGTAAATCGATGCTAGTGGGACGAGGCTCCAGGCCCCAAGGGGCTGGTTCATACATTTGGGTTTAAGACTTTAAGAATTTACTATTTACTATTTAGTATTTACTATTTACCTGGTGGTTTAAGTATTTACTATTTACTATTTATCTGGTGGTTTAAGTATTTTACTATTTACTATATATTTCACAAAGATCAGAAAATTTCAGTTTTTTGGTTAAAAAGCTAGGAAGATTCTCACGCCCGGCCGGGCACCCAGGCGTGACGCCCGGGGTACCCGGGCGTGTAAAAAAA